GGTGCTTACTAGGTTTATCTCTGATCATTGAACTTTTTGCCTTTGATCTGAAATTGCCACAGTTTTGAGAAGTGATACTTAATATTTAATAATCACTGAGACTGAAGACACTTCTTCAGCAAAGAAACATTACCTTCTTCTTTCTTTCATATATTTTCATGTTGGGTGTGTTTGAAGCGAATTGGAAGTCTAAGGAAAAAGAGTAGAACTCTTCCATCAGAATTGCAGTAGAGGACAGGAGAGGTGGAGTTTAGAGTTTGAGAACTCGGTGAAATTATCAGGTGAGATTAGGGAAAAGGTTATCAGTAAATCTGAAGGCTGTGTTTTCTAGTTGCTATTTTTCTGTTTTCAACTAAGTCTCTGGTTTAGCCTTGTGAGGAGAAAGCCATTTTAAATTCTAGGTAAGAGGAATATCTAGAATTTATCCTATCTAGAGGAATTGTAGAGGAGCCCATCACTTTCATGTCTGTGTCATAATTTAGCTTTGTGTTAACAGTGTTTTCAAAAGCCATCTTTTGGATATTTTCAGTAAAGGAACTGGGGATTTGTTTTTATCAAAGGACCCCGGTCCATGGGGGAAAATTAATCTGTTACAGTCAAGTAAAAATAAAAGATAATTCCTTTTTTCTAAGCAGAAATGTAAAATCAAGGAACTTGCTTTTGAAATTAAGAATAGAGACCATTACACTGGGGAATGTATTATGTTTAGTTGAGAAGTACCAACACAAATTCTGAGAGTGAGAGAAGCCTACAAAAACCAAATTCAGGTAACAGGTTGGTGGGGTAGGTAGGGTCGGTGGGGTGTCCATTTGGTTTCTAGTGAGCTGCTGAGCTGAACGCTTAGTCAACTTGAAAACAATGGATGGAGCCCAGCCATGGCACTGTCTCCTCATGCTGGGTCTAGAGTGGCCAGTGGGGGCCAGGGGTCTCTTGCCCTGTTTATCTCTGGATGAGATCCCATGGTAATTAATTGGGTCATTTATAATTAAAAGTTTTATTTACAAATAAACTGCTAATAGGAGAAAATCCTAAAGGTAGTTTGACCCAGAATCAGGAAAATGTGTCATGGGAAGAGGGGCTATACCCTAAGACTGAGTGGGCAAAGCCACTCATCTCTCATGACACGGCGGAAGGCCTGAACTTCTCCAAGGCTCTGGCATGGACTTTTGAGCTGTACACTATGTTCTTCCACTAAAACTCATGGCCCTTTCCCCAAATTATAGCCTAAAAGAATTCATCAATCTGTTAGCTTTCGGGCTATTTTGGCCGTAATTTTTTTTAAGGCTGTAGTGCCTGCCAATACTTATCTGCTAATGAGTGCTAGCAAATGCCTACATGAAACAATAAATACATAAGTGCTCAAATTGGAATTATGTGTAATCTGACAGGATTTTGTTGTCGTGGCTCCTAATTCTGATCTTTTGCTATCGGATACATCGCAAGTAATGAATTTCTGCAAGTAAATTGGCTTGATGGATCTAAGTATACTGAAGTGTAATGGTTTTCAGTAGAGGGAGCTTGACTTCTGGGCTTCATGCTTCCTGAACAACTTGGAGCCGCACTGCCCAAGGGCACAGCTAAGATCTGGAGTTCAGGGAGGCAGGCTTGGGCCCAGTATTTAGAACAATCTAACAACCCAGAGTTTAAAAATGAAACGGGTTGTGGTTTGAAAATTAATCCTCATCACTGAAGTTACTCAAGTCAAGGCCAGGTGGCCCCCTGCTGGAAGCATCTTGGAAGGGATTCCAGCATTTCCATCCTTGCAGGAGAGATGATGCACACATAGCCTCTAAGAAGCAGTGTTGACACCTGCGGTTCCATAGTTTGTCAGGAGCGCAAAGCTTATTGCGCCCCTTTTGATCGACAGCAGATAGTCCCCTCAGTCCCTGAACACGTGCTGCCCCTCCAGAGTCAGTCGGGCCTGCCGATTCAGTCAGCACAGTTTTTAGTTGCTCCTACGAGTCAGGCATGATGCCAGGCATCCAGCCATAAGCAGGCTTACTCTCAAGGGAGTGGACCCTGCCTTTAGGGAGCATCAAAGCCACCTTGGAAAGCTTGTTAAAGGCCAATGACTGGTTCCCATCTTCAATTTCTGATTCATCAGATCTGAGTGGGGCCTGAGTCCATTGCTATCAAGATCCAGGTGCAGGACCACACGGCTATGAGTGGCACTGGTTTAGGGTAGTGGTTCTCAGCCGGAAGTGATTGCCTGCCGTCCGCATATCCCTCCTGACATTTGGCAATATCAGTGACATTTTTGTTTATCACCACTGAGGGGAGTGGTGGGAGTGGTGCTACTGGTCTCTGATGAGCAGAAGCTGGGGGTACTGCTAAGCATCCTGTGATGCACAGGGCGCCCCCGCCTCCAAAAAAGTAAGCAGCCCACCTTTGATTAGTGGCAAGATGGAGAGACCCGCGGCTCGGGAATGACAGAAAAGGAAGTGCTCGTGATAAACTCTTAAAAGCAAGTGCTTGTGATACACTGTGATCAGGGCAATTGAGAGTGCCACAGTGGGCCTGACCTGATACAGCGGGGCAGTCAGGGACACGGGGAGGTGAATGGGTTCACCTGCTCGCAGGGCAGTCAGCTGTGTATGTGGCAGGGGAGTCTGCTGTTTTAACTGTGGAAGGAAACAAGTGAATTGCAGAGAGACCTGCCTGAGACGGCGGGGTTGGCATTTCACAGCATAAGTGACATTTAATAGCTTTATTGATTGCATGGGATTGCATGGGATTCCACTGTTCTGCCCCAGGGGAACTCAGTACGCACAGCCAGGTGAGCGCCTGCAGGTGGGCAGTGGTGGTGGGCCTGGAGTGAGTGTACGCTGGGAGATGCTGGAGAGGGCCCGAGGTGGCCACTTCAACAAGGCCTTTAAAGACACTGTCAGAAGAGGAACCATTATCCTGAAGGTGAAAGGAAGAAATGGAAGGCATAAAACAAGAATGTTCATTGTGTTTTATGAGACAGTGGGATCTCAGTTAGCGAGGCTTTCCTGTGATCAGTTGGCCTTGTGAAAAGCCTTAAAGTGCCTCAGCTATAATAGCTGAGTCAACTTTTTATGTAATAGCTATTCTGTTTGTTTGTACTTTAAATCTGGAAGTTTGATACACAGAGATTATCTCCCCAAAAAGCTGAAAGGGCCAGACTCTGATGCCGCTGGAACCTGTGTGTGAGTGAGGAGGCTGTCCTAGCAGCCCAGCCGTACAGCTGGTCCTATAAGCTGCAGGTGTTGGGCACATGAGGAGTTAGTCCTGCTCATGGTTCATGAAGAGTGCCTCCCACCCGCAGGCCAGACCACACTGGCTCTTTTCAGGACAGGAAGGCCTTCCATCCTGGGGCATTGCTGATTCTGTCTCAATTATTCACAAGACTTTTTCTATCCCTCCGTGCAGGGTCTGCAGGACACACCCAAACACTTGCTAGTTTCCCCAGCAGGCAGTTTAATGAGACTCATGGTGTATTTTTTACACTACCCAGTTGTCTGGCACATTTTATGACATAGTGGCTGATCAGCCACCCCCTTGATTACTGCATCAAAGCCCCGCTGGAAATTCCATCTCCCTCTAAGCTGACCAGGTTTGGCTGACCCAAGTGTCACAAACATTATTTAAATGATTTCTGTAGTCCTAGCATTATACCAAGTGATTTTTAATATGTTTAGTTTTTAACATGGTTTTTAATACACACACAGTTAAGATAATGTAAAGAGTACTGAAAGTTATGTGATGAAAAGTAAGACTTCCTCCCTCCTCTACCCCAATTTTTCATTTTATAACTTCTCAGAAACTAATCAATTTCTTGTATGTTGTCATAAAGATATATTTTGCATTTGCAAGCATTCTTTATGAGGTTTTAACACAAATGGCCATGTGTTCCTCTGTAATTTTTTCCTTTTGAATCTATCGTGGGGTAGGTAACATTGCCCCCACTTTGTAGGTGAGTTTCTTGAGACTGTGAGAGTCACTTGCTCAGTGTCACACAGTGAGTGGCAGAGCTGGCATTCAGACCAGGAGTTCCAGTTATAAGTGGAATTGCACTGAGTAACCCTAGGCAAGCTAACAATTAGATTTCCCCAAGAAGGTTTGCTTTTGTCCCACTTTATACCAATGTCTTTTCTATACATTGCCTCATTCATTTAGATGACAAGTGAGGGCTTCACAAGGGAGAGGAGTATCCATGTAGCTTCCCTGCTTCCCTAGCAGTTTAGTGCTGGCCCCCAAATTGCACACACCACTGTCCAGACAGTGTACAGCCAGACCCTGCTTCCAGAAGGTCACTTAGGGACCAGGAGTAGTTACTCGAGCTGCTGCCCACCCGAGATCTGGGGGTATTTCGACTTCTTGTTGGTGCTCGAGCCCCCACGCAGATTGGAAGCCCAGCCTGGTCTATGCCTTTACCTGCCCTGTGCTGAGTAGTTGCCAGCTCTGTCAGTAGCTGTGCATCCTTTGGTACAGGTTGGAGCTGTTCCACACAGGGGACAGAACAGACCCACCCTAAGCCACCTGGTGTCCAGAGGGCTCCAACTCCAATTCCAGGAGTAGTGGAGATTCTCAGAGCCTCAGAGACATTCCCAGCAGCTCCTTCATGACAGCAGCAGTGACCATTGGGGTCATCTTGAAACTAGATGGATTGTTTCCAGTCTCAGTGGGAGTTCTCACAACAACTCATCAGAATGGTCTAGTAGTTGATTGGTAGGTTGGGAAGAAGGTACCTGCTGCATGGGGACTCTGGCATGAGGCGTCTTTGTGGCCAGGACTTCATGGCAATGCCTCCCAAAGGCTCTGGGCACCTTCTCAGGGGAGCCTTGAGAGGGGACATATGTACCATTTAGAAAGTATTGTCTAATGCACACTCGCCCACAGAGCAGTGCTGTCTGAAGGCCAAACCCTGTTTTTGAGTTACGGTTGTTTAAGGTATTTGCTTAGAATTTTAATTCCTGATGCTAAAAAACTGAGCTGCATTGCATGACTTTTGCACTGATCTTTCTCTGAATTGGCAGGTACCAAGGAGGGAACATATTCTTCCACCTTCTGGGTGCTGCTGAGTATCTTTCTGGGAGCAGTGGCCATGCTGTGCAAAGAGCAAGGGATCACCGTGCTGGTGAGTGCCACAATGTGGCTGGGGCCTGCTTTTCGTGTGCATCCTTTTTCCTCCTATAAAGACATCTGGGGCTGGCCCTGCCTCTGTGGCATCCTCCGCACCTGCATCCCATTGCTGGCCTGAGGTTATAGACCTTTCTGGACAAATTATTCGCTGTCACAGTTCTGGCATCTCAGGCGGAGAATTGACTGTCTTCCTTAACAGTCATGCGCAACTGGTGAGAAATGGTGAATGAGAAGTCCTTAGGAAGCCGTGATGAGTCCTCTTGAGAGGCCCTATAGAAAAAGATCAAAGAATGGTTTGAGTTTTCTGGTTTGCTTGTACATATTTCAGCAGTCCTAGATCACTTAGGACTGACCCCATCAATGGTTTTGATCCAGGATCTGGAAAGGGTAGTGGGTAGTTTAGAAATGAAGGAACAGGGCCAGGCACAATGGCTCACACCTATAATCCCAGCACTTTGGGAGGCTGAGGTGGGCTGATCACCTGAGGTTAGGAATTTGAGACCAGCCTGACTAACATGGATAAACCCCATCTCTACTAAAAATACAAAATTAGCTGGCGTGGTAGCACATGCCTGTAATCCCAGCTACTCGGGAGGCTGAGGCAAGAGAATCACTTGAACCCGGGAGGCGGACGTTGCAGTGAGCCGAGATTGCGCTGTTGCACTCCAGCCTGGGCAACAAGAGTAAAACTCTGTCTCAAAAGAAAAAAAAAGGAACAGGAGTTCCACTGCTACTCAGAGCCTCACGTGCACATTCTATCTCCTCGCCATTCCCCACCACAGCGGTTTCCTGTGGTTATAGTTAATCACACCACACAAGTGCAACTTCAGGCAGTGCTGGAGCCGAAGTGTTCCATGGTCGCAAGTGTTTGACCTGAAATTAAAAGATTACTAACTAGTCTCATATTTAAAGGAGAATCTGCAAGGGTGCTAATGTTTCTAGTGGGACTTTGTTCTCAGAGGACTCTTTATGCCAGATGTGCCTGGTAATCACGTGTTTTAACTTCGAGCCTTGAAGTTTTTCTCTGTGTAATAGGGTATATACACTGTATTCTCTTGGGTACATCGTTTTCCTGGAGCGAACCTCCCCCTTGGCTTCCACCAGCAGCATCGGGGTTGGGGAGGGGGCTCTCTGAAGCCCTTGGAGGCTCTGTCTCCCCAGGCTCTGCCCCTGCACTGGCTCCACACCCTTTCCCAGGACCCATCACACCTGTGCAGTGGCCTCCACAGAAAGGCTGAGCTCAAGGTGGGGGCCACGTTTGCTCACTCGGAGCCCAGTGCCAAGCACAGTGCCTGCATGTATTTATCCAATAAATAAATTCTGCCCAATTTTGTGATGTTTTTGTGTGGTGCAATATTGCAGCCCTGCTCAATTAAGTGAACATTTCTGGCTGGGCCCTGTGGCTCACACCTGTATGCCCAGCACTTTGGGAAACCAAGGCAGGAGGATCCTTTGAGGCCAGGAGTTTGAGACCAACCTGGGCAACATAGCAAAACTCTGTCTCTACAAAAAATTAAAATATAAAACTTAGACAAGGCTGATTGAACATACTTGTAGTCCCAGCTACTCAGGAGGCTGAGACAAAAGGATCATGGGAGCCCAAGAGGTCAAGGCTGCAGTGAGCTATGTTCACATCACTTCACTCCAGTCTGGGCCACAAAGCAAGACACTGCCTCAAAAAAAAAAAAAAAAAAAAAAAAATTTCAGTCTGATCTGAGTAGATGCTAGGATTAAGGACCCAGGAAAGGAGAGGTGTTGAAGTCTCATTGCTGCTTTACCTTCTTAGAAGAAAATATAGAAATTAAGATTGTAAACAGAGGTAGAGAAATGGAAAGATGTAGAACTTTTTCTTTTCTTTCTTTTTTTTCTTTTCCTTTTTTTTTGAGACAGGATCTCACTTTGTCACCCAGGTAGGAGGGCAGTGGCATGATTATAGCTCACAGCAGCCTCAACAAGCCTCCCACCTCAGCCACCCAAGTAGCTGGTACTGTAATTGTGTACCACAACCCCAGTTAATTTTATAAAATTTTTTGTGGAGATGGGGTCTCCCTGTGTTGGCCAGGCTGGTCTCAGACTCCTAGCCTTGGAATTACAGGCATGAGCCATCGTGCTTGGCCAAGGAATGATCATATAGAAATAGCTTGGAAAAGAAAGAACAATTAAGGCTATTTAGGGCCTGATACAAGTCAAGGCAAAAAGTTGCTGGTTTTATTAGGTTGTATCTATTAAGATTAAGCTAGCAAGGAGATGGTATAGGGAGAATTGCCGTGGAAAGCTACTTGAATTTCTTAAGTTAATTTTTTTACAGTTTGCTCTAAACCAATGTTTCTCAACCTTGGCACTATTAATGTTTTACAGCAGACAGTTCTTTCTTGTGGGGGCTGTTCTGTGCTTTGTGGGATGTTTAGCAGCATCCCTGGCCTCTACCTACTAGTTGTCAATGGGACCCCTCAATTGTGACAACCTAAAATGTCTCCAGACAGTGCCAGACGTCCCCTGGGGGTCAGAATAATCCCTGAGAAACGCTGGCTTTAGAACCTTTCCCTAATACAAAGTGTGGTTTGAGGACCAGGAGCATCTGCAGTATCTGGGAGCATGTTAGGAATTGAGGATTGCAGGCCCACCCCTTCCCCAGGCCTGCAAAGTTGGAATATGCATCCCCAAGGCCCTCAGGCAGCTCCTTGGTGCAGTATTTTATTTTATTTTTATTACTTTTATTTTTATTCAAGTTGGGGTTTCTCTCTTGTTGCTCTGGCTGGAGTGCCATGGCACGATCTCAGCTCACTGCAACCTCTGCCTCCCAGGGTCAAGTGATTCTCCAGCCTCTGCCTCCCAAGTAGCTGGGATTGCAGGTGCGTGCCACCACGCCTGGCTAATTTTTGTATTTTTAGTAGAGATGGGGTTTCCCCATGTTGGCCAGGCTGGTCTCGAACTCCTGACCTCAGGTGATCCACTCATCTCAGCCTCCCAAAGTGTTGGGATTACAACCATGAACCACCATGTCCAGCCTCCTCTGTGCAGTATTTCAGGAGCAGGAGAGAATTCAGTTGAATTTATATGAATAAAGATATGGTGAAATGTAGCAATTTTCAAAAATTGGATTCAAATGGGGCTATTTTGATGATGCATTTAAAAGGAAGGGGTCCAGTCTTGTGCTTGGCTCAGGCCTCTTCACCACATGACCCTGCCACCGCTTGGTGACTGTCTGCAGCTCACAGGAAAACTGAGAAGACAGCGGCTGCTACGCAGGGTGCATCTGCCTTCTAGAAAGTGGTTTTCCACAAGGCAGAAACGGTCTTCTGTGACCCACTAAGATCATGTCTCATATGAGTGAATAAAATCAGGGTTCTTTGAACTGATTAACCCAGCACTGGCCCATGTATTGGATAATTAGTGGCTCCCAGCATTTCTGGGAGAGGGTTAAGTAGGGATGTCATCCTTGCTCTGAAAACCACAAATTACCACTGACTTCTGATGATGTGTGATCTCCTTTGCCGCAAAGAAGATCATATTAAAAAGACCTAAGTCATTTAAGGGCAGCTTTAACTGTATCCGCCAAGTATGTGCAGACCACTTTATCCAGATTGGGTGGGGAGTTCTGTAGATGACATTGCCTGCAGCAGTGACATTTGTAGAACGTACATTGCAGAAGAGAGAATAGAATCCAGGGCTTAGCTCTCCTCTTGCCTGTAACTACAGGTTTAATTTTACCTGCTAGATAGTAACTATTGTGGTGCTAGTGAAAACTGTTAACACAGTTGGACTGCTAATTGAAGTTATTTGTTGTGCATCTCATGGGTCATGGGCAGAGCTGTAAACTGATAGAGGTAGCCATCCTTCCTACCACGGCCCCACCTGACAAAGGCCTGCTCTCATCAATGTGTGGTTTCCAAAGTCACCCTGGGCAGCTCCATTCCAGCCAGCTAGAAGGGGAAACCAAGTGGGAATGTGTGCCCACCTTTTACAACCAAACCTCCGAAATGGTACATGCCACTTCTCCCACATTCCATAAGGCTAGAACTCAGCCCAGTGACTGAGCTTAACTGCATGGGGGTCTGGGAGATGTACCGCACTGTAACCCAGTGAAAAAACGACTGTACAACTAGAATTCTGCTCAAGAGATCTCCAGAGCTCATCAGAAATTATCATGTGTATTCATCCTCTGTTTCTAAAGATACCGAAGTCCACCAGATATGAGGTTCACTTATGTGGTTTTCGAGGTGGGTGGCTGCCTTTATCTTCCAGCATGATTACTGCCCAGGAAGCCACTCTGTTGCATGAACTAAAGGACTGTTTTATAGTGACCGAAAAAGGGAGAGGAGTGGAAGAGGGATCTCTCAAGGCTTTTCCTAGGAATCCCAAATTTCCAGCTATCCTGAATCTTGTAGGTCTCTTACACACAGATTGTGAAATCATTTCTTTCTGGGGCTTGTTAAATAATAAATTTGATTTATTGCCTTGAGTTAATTTCATAGAAACATAGGGTTGTTGTTTTTTTTAAAGCGCTGCAGAGGTCTTCCGTGATTCTCTCATCTGTGTGCTCCTTGTCTAGATTGAGTAATGAAATTGTGAAGTATAATTGCTGCGTAACAGAGCCAGGCTGTCCCAGGGCTGATTGTTTTGCTTTGCTCTCTTAGGGTTTGAATGCAGTATTTGACATCTTGGTGATAGGCAAATTCAATGTTCTGGAAATTGTCCAGAAGGTACTACATAAGGACAAGTCATTAGAGGTGAGTCTGTACTTTTATCTCCAGCCCAGACATGGAAAATGTCAAGTACCAGCAGATTTAAAATGCCGTTTTCAAATATTCCTTGTGATTTTGAATTCTACAATAACCAGCCTTTTAAAAAAGCACAGTGTTGAAGTAGTTCAGGCAGAATTACTGCACATTCGTACCTGGCTCAGCCACACTTTTAATTGAAAATCAGCCACCTCTGGGGCTTTGCGGTATCCTTGCAGAATCTTGGCATGCTCAGGAATGGGGGCCTCCTCTTCAGAATGACCCTGCTCACCTCCGGCGGGGCCGGGATGCTCTATGTGCGCTGGAGGATCATGGGCACCGGCCCGCCCGCCTTCACCGAGGTGGACAACCCGGCCTCCTTTGCCGACAGCGTGCTGGTGAGGGTGAGTTCTCCAGCCTGCTGCCCTCCAGACTGTGTTCTTCACCCACCAGATTCCCAGATCCCTCACCCCTCCTGCTTGTCTCACTTCTCTCCACGCCAAAGAAATCCCCAGTGCAGGCACCTCCATGTTTGTTTGAGATCGCTAAGGATGTTCTGGGATGAAAGCAGGTCTTCCTGAGTGGGGTGAAAGGGCAGGCAAAAACTCATCGCATTTCCGTTCTAATGAGAAGTAAAGAGGGCAGTTCCTTTTCACATCAGGGTCCTTGCCAGTCATGTGAAAGGGCTCCCTAACCCTGTGGCTGGGTTAAGACTAAATCTAACCATCTTGGTGGTATCTTGAGAAGACTGGTGGTATCAAGACTATTCTTTTAGATTTACCTTTTTTCTAAAGGCAAGCCTGTCAAGCCACCAATTCTCAGCTGTGCATTTTATAGAGACCCAAATCAAGAGAACAGCCATCGAACCCGATGTGTAAGACCCTGACCAAATACTTGGGTTATTAGACGCTTAGGTGACCCTGGGGCCTCAGATTTCAGAGGTCACAGGCTTCAGGCAGCAAATTGGTCATAGCTTGGCCAGAAATATTATGAATGTATTGCATAGTCTGGCGGCTTTGTGATATTTTTATATAACAAAACCTGAAAGCATTTAATAAATTACAGACTACAGTCGCATACCCAGCAACATTTTATTTGATGCAACTGCTTTCGTTGAACAGAAGCATATGAGTGCCTCAAGAGAAGTTAGTGCATATGTATATGTTTTTTAAGTTCAATATCAAATAAATGTTTGTTTTCCTTTTGACTGACAGGCCATAAACTATAATTACTACTATTCATTGAATGCCTGGCTGCTGCTGTGTCCCTGGTGGCTGTGTTTTGATTGGTCAATGGGCTGCATCCCCCTCATTAAGTCGGTCAGCGACTGGAGGGTAATTGCACTTGCAGCACTCTGGTTCTGCCTAATTGGCCTAATATGCCAAGCCCTGTGCTCTGAAGATGGCCACAAGAGAAGGTAAGAGGCAATGCTGAATTTTAACTTCCACACTGGTTGAATCAGAGGTGTTTTGTGAAATCCTGCACTGAAAATTTTAACGGTTTTGTGGAAGTCACGTCTAAGGACGTTTGTTTCAAATGCATATTTATGGCTAGGATGAGTTCCATCCATTCGGAATCCATGGCTGGCTTCCGCGGGTGGGGAGTGAGGCTGGTAGAGGGGCTGCGGATGACTGCTTCCTCCCCACCTCCCCCTTTCTCCGGGAAGTAGCATTTTGCGATCCTTTTCGCTGTAGGTGGTAAAGAGTAATTTATGGTCAGAACAGAGAGTGTAATTGATGTGTGTTGTGCCCATTATTGCACAATTCTTCCTCAAAACACCCCAGTGAACGTGACCATGATTCCTTCTGTTGTTGCTGGGTACAAAATAAGCCACTGCCCCAAAGAGACTGTTCATTCTTGAAAAAAAAAAAAGTTATTGAGAAAATAATTGGGGAAAACAAATGTGTTTCATGAAAAAGAAAACTGTTTAAGATGATTTCCTTTAAACCTAAGTGTTTATGGAATTAGATTAGTAATTTCTCAAAATAAATTAAGTTTTAGGTTTACCTGTGTCTTTAAATTGGTTGGTAATTCTAAAGAGCCACAAACTTGAGTCCCAGTTCCCTTATCCACAGGAAATGGGATTTTTAAAAGAAATATTGTAGATACAGGGCCCACAAAGGAGCCACCAATATTGACCCTGAGTCTTCATTCATCCTCTTGCATCATAAGGGACATTGGGAATGATCAGGTGGTTTTAGAAGTGTTTCAATGCTCAGCTTCGTATCTCCCTGACTGAAATTTATAGTGATGTAGCAACCAAGAAATGGTTTATTTCAGATTTTGTAAACGTTAAACTACTTAAGTGTTGTTGTTAAGTTTTGGAGGAAAATTTTTTTTCCCCCATGTAAATGGATTGGGACAGTTTTTTAATTAATTGAGACCATTATCCACTGAACTATTTAGTACCTAAGCAGTTTGAGGCATAGTAAGTAGTAGGTGGATTAATAAGGCCTCAGAAGTGTGATCATTTTAACTTTCTCCATACAAATTGTATGGCTTTTAAGTTTTACACTTAGGCTCACTGTGAAGTGCCTGAGGAATATTTTTATGCCTTATCCCCATGCTACCAAGCTAAACTCTCGCTACTGATGATATCCTTTGGCTGACAGCAATACCTTTCTCAGTTGATGGTATAAAAAAGAAAAGAAAAGGTCTTTAGCATTAATTTAATGTGGACTGCTAGTAATTTAGTAATTTCTCAAAATAAATTAAGTTTTAAGTTTACCTGTATCTTAAATCAGGTGGTAATTCTAAAGAGCCACAGACTTTATCCACAGGAAATGTTTTTCTTGAGAAGTCTGGAAATAGTCATTTTTTTCAATCCTTTTCATCGTCCAGGATCCTTACTCTGGGCCTGGGATTTCTCGTTATCCCATTTCTCCCCGCGAGTAACCTGTTCTTCCGAGTGGGCTTTGTGGTTGCGGAGCGAGTCCTCTACCTCCCCAGCGTCGGGTACTGTGTGCTGCTGACTTTTGGATTTGGAGCCCTGAGCAAACACACCAAGAAAAAGGTATCAACCGAGAATGGTGCCAACGGATGCAGGAAACGACCAACGCATCTCACTGGTGGTATTTACCATGTCTCTCTGTTCCTAAGAAACTCATCGCAGCTGTCGTGCTGGGGATCGTACTCATCAACATGCTGAGGTGCGTGGTGCGCAGTGGCCAGTGGCGGAGTGAGGAACAGCTTTTCAGAAGCGCCCTGTCTGTGTGTCCCCTCAATGCTAAGGTACCTACCTGCCAGATTTCTTTTAAAGAGACCTTACTTGGGAATGTGTTAAGTTCTTTGACTGAATAAGAACATTTCCTATCGTACAATATTTAGTGTAAGACCATGACCGAGTACTTGGATTTTTCTTGGTGGTGTGTTTTTTTAAAATTATTTTGGTAAGATTCATTAAAATTCTACTCAGCCAAAATTGAAAAGAAATCATTTAAAAGCAGACAATATCAGTGAAACAATTGACTGTAATGAGATCTTACTCGTCTTCCAGATGATCTTTTTGCGCTTTGAAGTAGCTTCAGGGGAGGTGACATTGTGTATTCAGACTGACCTTGGACACGGCACAGATTCTGATGTCTAGAGTGCACTTTTCAAAGCCCACTCTCTAGCGATTGCATTAACTAGCCTCCTCCACGCTATAATTTAAAGGGGTAGTAATACCTACAAATTGGCAATGATTTGATTCAGGAAGTTTAAATTATGCTATGTGCTGCGCAATAGTACACACTTATGTCACCTTTGAGTTCCCTGCTTGTGATTTTTTTGGGTCAGATTAGGTAAACATAAATGTACACACAGTCATGTGCCATATAACAATGTTTCGGCCAGCAGACCATATATAGCATATATACAACTGTGGACCCATAAAATTATATCTTTTTTTGAGGCTGGGTCTCACTCTGTCACCCAGGCTGGAGTGCAGTGGTGCAATCTCGGCTCACTGCAGCCTCCACCTTCCGGGTTCAAGGAATTCTCCTGCCTCAGCCTCCTGAGTAGCTGCGATTACAGGTGCCCGCCACCATGCCCAGCTAATTTTTGTATATTTAGTGGAGATAGTGGAGATAGGGTTTCACCATGTTGGTCAGACTGGTCTCGAACTCCTGACCTCAAATGATCCGCCCACTTTAGCCTCTCAGATGCTGGGATTACAGGCGTGAGCCGCTGCATCCGGCCAGTATTTTTGCTGCCTCTTTTCCATGTCCTTACTGCTGTGTTACCATTGCCTCAAGTATTCAGTACAGTCACAAGCTGTATAGGTTTCTGGCCTAGGAGCAACAGGCTGGACCACACATAGTCCAGGTGTGTAGCAGGATCTACCATCTAGGGTTGTGTAAGTACACTCTATGATGTTCAAACAATGACAAAATCAGCCAACAATGCATTTCTCAGAACGTATCCCTGTTGTCATTAAGTAATGCATGACTGTACTCTAAAACTGGCAGTGTATTTGGTTGAAGCAATCTGGTAGGAATTTTTTTACTCATATTCTTGATGAATACAGGCTCTTCACTTGACTAGCTGTGCCTCTTTGGGCAAAACTAAAACTTTCAAAAACTTTCAGTGCCCTTTTCTATCAGAAGTGGATAATACCCATCTGCTGGGTTTGTTGTTGGGGCTGAATGAACTAAAATGCCCCCACACAGTGGCCAGCACATAGTGGTAGGTGCTCAGAAAGTGTCAGCTTTTGTAGGCTCATTTCAGCCTGGGTTTTGCATTATGTTGGGAAGAGAATGCTGTTTGCTCAAAATGGGGGCCACAGGGTTGGTTAGGTTAGAAGAATTCTCTGTTAATATAGATTATTATCATTAAATAATGATTCATTCTCTCTTAGGTCCTCAGAATTAGAGCTGCGTAGGATGCTTGTATGTAATCCTCCTGAATGGAGAGGGGATCTGGATCACTGTCTCATTTCTGTGTCCCATATTAAGGGAAGGCAATAATTTCAGAAAAAATTATGTAAACAAAACTAATGAATAGTTGACATCTTATTATGAACTTTAAGTGAAGAATAATATATAAAAGATGCTGGCTACTTATCTTTTCCCTGGATTAAAACCTCTTATTCATATTTTACAGTTAAGAGACTTAGATAAAATTGTGAATTGCTTTGAGCTTTTATCTTTAATTTGATTTGCTGACTTATCAATTTATTTTATGCAACCAAAAATAAATTGCCTGTGATTTAATTTCATAAATGTTAATAGATTTTCTTTATTTTTACTTTGCTGTTTGAATAGCAGTAATTACCCCTTCTATTTGTGTAGTTCCTCACCACAAGGAGTTCAGATTTCTTTATAGAGGCGCTATAATTAATCTCTATTATCCCCTCACCAAGGTTTTTAGAGAGGGTATTATTTTCTCTATGTTCCCAGATGGGAGATACTGAGGCATAGCAAGATTAAACTGACATTATCTAGGCTAGTAATTTAGGTGGCTAGAGAGAGACCTGGTATGGTGATGTGCCCAGGTGCCTTTAGTAAATAAGGGGGATGGAACATAGGTGATGTCTGAACCCAAAAACCTGCCCAGGAAGTGATTTCATATGTTGTAGGCTAGAAAACACAGGGTGTGCACTTGTGAGCATGCACAGAAGTATTAGGAGAAGGAGAATGAGAGGGAGTGAGAGTGTGTGTGTGTGTGTGTGTGTGTGTGAGAGAGAGAGAGAGAGAGAGAGAGTGGGGATGGATTCTTTTCTTAATTTAAGGAATACAGGAATACATATAAGACCTCATCTTCAAAATGGACTCAGTGATAATAGTCCTTTCTTAAGAACATTTTTCAGTGATACCGTTCAGTATAAGCAAGATAGAGGGTTTTTGTTTGTTTGTTTGATATATATATATCATTTTTTTTTTTGAGATAGAGCCTCGCTCTGTCACCCAGGCTGGAGTGCAGTGGCACGATCATGGCCTACTGCAACCTCTGCCTCCCAGGTTCAAGCAATTCTCCTGCCTCAGCCTCCCGAGGAGCTGGTATTACAGGCACCTACCACCACGTCCAGCTAATTTTTGTATTTTCAGTAAAGACCAGGTTTTACCATGTTGGTCTGGCTGATCTCGAACTCCTGACCTGAGGTGATCCACCCACCTCAGCCTCCCAAAGTGCTGGGATTACAGGCATGAGCTGCTGTGCCCAGCCCCTAGTTTATTTTTAAATTTTCCACTGTAAGTTGAAGTGTCGTAAAAATATCTTTACTTACTTTTTTTTTTTTTTTAAATCTAAGTTGATTTTAGGAAAGAGATCTCACATAGGATATAGATAGACACTGGTTCCTTTCAGTCCCATTATTATAGGTGACACATTTTCTAGACTGGTTTCATTTGATATCTGTTGAATATAAAGTAAGAAATTGGCAACTGGCTCCAGTTTAGGGCCAGATGTATGAGTTAAGACTCATCTTTTTTGAGAGATTACAATATCAGTGTATGTAGTGCTGGTGCCTGGTCTGCATGTAAATTATCCACAGTGCCTTGCATATAGTAGACATTCAATATTAGTTAATGAATTGAGCCAAATGGAAATTGAATTCACTGAGACTACTGTGGATGAGATACCAAGTGTACTTACAGTCATTTATAGTTTTTAAGGCTTAAAAGTGTGTTGCACTGTCAACCCTGTGATGCAATTCTGTAATAAATTCTTTTAACGATGAAACAGATCATTTACCACAATAAGGTATTTTCTTAAGGAGTAAGTGACCCAGGATGTTTAAGGATTTTTATGTTTTTAAAACATCTTAAGTTTAACCTCAGATGTTGCCAGAGTATTTATAAAAAATTAGTTTAGCCCTGGTAGTAAAGGTGCCTTTCATAACCGATACTCTTTCTTCCTTGCATTTACATGTTACTGAGTTGTGATGGTTGTTTCTGTCTTCGACTTCGCCTGTGCTAATTCATGGCCTCAGCAGGTGCATCACAAATGCTAGGGGGAAAGTTGAAGAACAAACGGGCTTTTTCAATCTTTCAGATTTCAGGGAAACAAAAGTCACTCATTTTCTAAACATCATTTTAAGTGACCTGGTTGTGAGATTTTTTGTTCTGTTTTGTTTTGCAATCTAGGCAGATATTTTTTATTCAAAGAATTCCCTCCACCTAACCCACAGGATCAAGGTGGCCTCTGGGTAAACCTGTTTACCAGTTCTTAATGATGGTCTGCCTTCTAAGTCTGTATCAGATTTTTAACCAGCTCCTGTTCCAGAGTCCCATGTCCTTCTCCCTTGATCTGGTCTCTGGCATTCTGAGTGTCTAACAGAACACTGTCTATACTGCAGAGGGCGGTTGAACTCTTTGTCTGGGCTTTTTATTGAGAAAACAGAATTTGCCTGGAACAAAGGAAAACAGCAGGAGCTTAGGGCGGAAGGCGGGGGCATCGAGTTGATGTCTGAGTGGAAGCTGTATTTGTATTCTGAGGACCACAATGACATCGCTGGCAGATTGGATTCTCCAGCCCTGGGTTCTTTTGTGCATAGGAGATGAGGTGAAGTCATACATCCAAGCTGAGTTGGGGGAAGCGCAAATTCTAATCATTTAGAGCACTTTTGTCGACATGCACTTCGGAAATAACATTAACTGAGCCTCCTCCAAGCTACAATTTAAGGATGAAAATGCCTATGAATGGACAATAATTTGATGCAGAAAGTTCAAATTATACTGTGTGGTGCACAGTAGTAATGCACATTTTCATCACCTGTGATTTTTCTGCTTGTGAGTCCTTTCATCAGAGTGGTAAACATAAATCTCTATGCTTTTAAATTGGCAGTTAAGAAAACCTGCTAATAAGCACTGCTGCATACTCTTCCAGAAATCTGAGTCTCTCTGAGGAAGTGCTGTAACTGTAGGTTAAGATTGATAAGGCAGGATGTGGTTCTATTTTCAGGGGTCATTTGGAAGCAGTGTTCAGATGTAGTGTTACTTGAATGTGTTTAAGCCTTTTCTGTGTTTGGGGATTTTATTAGTCTTCTCAGGCTGCCATAAGTGCACACACATGCACACACACACACACACACACGGAGGTTGGGTGGACAAACACACACACACACACACACACACGGAGGTTGGGTGGCTTAGACCACAGATGTTTATTCTCTCACTCTTCTAAATACTGGAAGTGTAAGATCAAGGTGTCAGCAGGGTTGTTTCTTGCGAGGCCTCTCTCCTGGGCTTACAGATGTCTTCTTCTCCCTGTGTCCTCACATGGTCTGTCTTCTGTGCTCACACATCTCTGGTGTCTGTGTCCAAATTTTCTGTTTCTGTAAATACACTCAGACTGGATTGGGGTCATATGGATTGGAGCCCAGCTGTATGACCTCATTTGACCTTACTTACCTCTAAAGACCCTAGCTCCAAATACCTTCTCATTCTGGGGTGCCAGGGATTTAATGTCAACTTTGGGGGCCAATATCATATAACAAGAAATGTGATGTTACCTAAGGAAAAAGCCAGTGGTATGAATAAGTGGATCTAGAAAGTGCCTTGAGCAGTCACCCTCACCTTCCCTCAACACTGTAATCAATGCATGTGATCTAATGGGAAGATGCACAGGCTTCAGAGCCTGGTTCCAATCCAGCTTCACAGCCCTCGATGAGACGCTGAATGACCCCAAAGCAGTTTAGCAACTCAGAAGAGATGGCCACAGCAGCCACGCCTCAAGCCACCATGAGGAGAGACCATGCACACACAGCCCAAAACACCGTGCACCACTGGTGGGTGCCCCTTGAGGCATGCCGACTGCACACCATCTTACCATTTGCCATGACTGCTGTTAGTAGCACCCACACTACATGCTCCTGATTGAGTGAGTTTCTGTGGCATCATCTGCTCTGGGGTTGCTACTCCCTTTATATTGTCAAGTCCCAGAAGGAGTTTTTGGTCATCAACAAATACTTTTTTTCTTTTCTTTTCTTTTCTTTTGAGACAGAGTCTTGTTCTGTTGCCCAGGCTGGAGTGCGATGGCATGCTCTCAGCTCACTGCAACCTCCACCTCCTGGGTTCAAGCAATTCTCCTGCCTCAGCTTCCTGAGTAGCAGGGATTACAGGTGTGCACTACCACACCCAACTAATTTTTGTATTTTTAGTAGAAATGGGGTTTTACTGTGTTGGGCAGGCAGTTCTCAAACTCCTGACCTCAAATGATCTGCTGACCTTGGCCTCCCAGAGTAGCAGGATTACAGGCATGAGCCACTGCTCCCAGCCAACAAATGCTTTTTACTGTAGTCCTCGTGAGCTTGTGCCGTCTTGCTGCCCCGGGCTTAGTTCAGGTCCCCACTTTTTTCTTTGTCATTTATTCTGAGCCCACGTAGAGTTGAGAAACTGCCATATATTGGCTTCCCTGATGCCCTCGTTCCAAGTGACCTGAGAATTCCTAGCAGATTGGCAGCTGGGAGCCCCATTCCAACCAGCCTACTTCACTCCCTCTTCAGTCATTGAAAATCCTCTCCTCATTCTTTTTAAATGGAGGTAAAATTCCTATAATATAATATTATCCATTTTAGCATATCAAAAAATTAAAAACAGAATTATATGATCCAATAATTCCATTTGAAGGCATATTCTCAAAAGGACTGAAAGCAGAGACTCAGAGGGATATTTGCACACCCATGTTCATAGCCACATTACTCACAATAGCTAAAAAGTGGAAGCCACCCAGGTGTCCATCCAAGGACAAATGGACAAACAGAATGTGGTGTACCCATGCAAAGGAATAATTCAGCCATAAGAGGAAAGAAGTTCTGACACAGGTGACACAAATGGACAATTCCACTTACGTGAGGTAGCTAGGAGTCAAATGCATAGAGACAGAAAATGAATGGAGGTTGCCAGGCGTTCGGTGGAGGGGAGAATGGATACAGAGTTTCTGTTTTGAAAAATGAAAAGAATTCTAGCAATAGGTGGTGACCTCGTACCACCATGTCAGCCTAGCCTGTCCCCCTAAACAAGCCTGATCACCCGTCACTTCTCTTGAAAGCCGTCACATCCATTCTGTCCTGAATGTTGGGAACCTCGCATTTGTTCTTGACACGCTTCCCTTTCTCCTAGCAGTTGGTCACCAATTTCTATGCTTTTTGCTCCCTCACTCTTCTTCAAACCTGTGCACAGGTTCACTACCACCCTAGTTCAGTCCTCTCTTCCAGGACTGCAGCCACAGCCTCCCCAGAGCCCCTGACATCTGCTTCTCCCCACTCACATCTCTTTCCCACCCCAGGATTTGTTTCATATGAGCATAAACCTGATAATGACCTCTTCTAGCCTCCTGCCCCTGGCTTCCTGCTACGGGTTGAACTGAGCCTCCCAAAAGATATGCTCAAGTACTAACCCCTGGGACCTGGGAGTGTAACCCTTTTTGGGAGTAGGGTTGTTGCAGGTGTAATTAGGATGTCAGTTAAGTAAGGTCATACAGGAGGATGGTGGGCCCTTAATCCAGTGTCATCGGTGTCCTTGTAAGACAGGAGAAGAGACAGGGAGACAGACAAAGAGGGGAGATGGTCATGAAGACAGAGGCAGAGGAGGGAGCGAGGCATCTGCAAGCCAGAGATTGCGAGCCAGCTCCATGAGACAGGAGAGAGGCAGGAACAGTCTCTTCTTCAGCCTGCGGTGGGACCAGCCCTGTGGACACCGTCTTGGCCTCCAGGACTGTAAGAGAAGCGTGTTGTGTTAAGCCCCACAGTTTGTGGTGCTTTGCTGCTGCGGCCCTGGGGCACTCACACACTTATAGACCCCGCCCAGCCTCTTGGTTCTGAGGATAAGGACTGATCCAAGCCTGCCCTGCTTAGGGTTCCCTGTGAGTGCAGCTGCTCCTCCTGGGCTCTCCAGCCTGCAGCCGTGCTGTCTGTACTTCAGCAACACCCTTGCTCAGACCCTGTGAAAGAATAATACCAGAGGCCAGGTGCGGTGGCTCACGCCTATACCCAACACTTTAGGAGGCCAAGGTGGGCGGATCACCTGAGGTTGGGAGTTTGAGACCAGCCTGACCAACATGGAGAAACCCCCATCTCTACTAAAAATGCAAAATTAGTTGGGCGTAGTGGTGCGTGCCTGTAATCCCAGGTACTTGAGAGGCTGAGGCAGGAGAATCATTTGAAACTGGGAGGTGAGGGTTGCAGTGAGCCGAGATTATGCCATTGCACTCCACCCTGGGCAACAAGAGTGAAACTCCATCTCAAAAAAAAAAAAATAATAACAGAGGCAGGGTGGCTTCAGCAGCAGACACTGACTTCTCACAGTGCCAGTGGCTAGAAAGCCCATGATCAAGGTGTAGGTAGGTTGGTTGTCTGGTGGGGGCTTGCCTCCTGGTTCACAGACGGTCGTATTCTCACTGTGTCCTCACATGGCGAAAATGGGACATGGGAGCTCTCCAGGGCCTCTTTGATGAGGGCATTGATCCATTCATGGGGCTCCACCCTCATGACTCAATCACCTCCTGAAGGCCCTACTTCCCAACACCATCACATTAGGAGTGAGGATTTCAACATTTGAATTTTGGGAGCGCATTAACATTCTGTCCAGAACAGATACAGAGTAAAATGCTTGTGATGCTAGCTATAGAAGAAAGATGTCATACATGAAAGGGCCACATTTGCTTAAATGGGTAGGGACAGAATCATGGTTTCTTCTCGTGTTCATATGTGATTGGACTTTGTTATCTCAACTCTAGTGGAGTGTGTTGGTAAGGAGGATTTGAGGTTTTGCTGATAAAAACAAGCCAGGTGTGGTGGTGTGTACCTGTAGTCCCAACTACTTGGGAGACTGAGGCAGGAGAATCACTGAATCCCAGGAGTTCAAGGCTGCAGTATGCTCTAATTGCACCTGAGAATAGCTCTACGGCACTCTAGCCTGGGCAACATAGCAAGACCCCATCTCTAAAAATCAAAAGTAAAATTTTTAAAAGCCCAGCTTTGTAGTTTTCTGGTTTTCTTTGGTGAAGTCATTAGTTATTTCCTTTCTGTTGTGCTTTAGAGATGGACCATGCCTGTCCCCCTTTCTTCTGATCCTCTTATAGGGTTGGAGATTAAAGCACAAGCAACCCCTAATCCCTGTAGGGTTTTAGCTAAAGTTCTGGTGGGTGCCTTTTTTCCTCATCCCTTTACCTTTTGTCTTCAGTTAGAAGATATGATGGGGTCCAGGCTCTGAACAAGAAGTCTATCTGCTAATGGCCCAAATATTTTCTTTTTGCAGGTTCACTACAACATTGGCAAAAACCTGGCTGATAAAGGCAACCAGACAGCCGCCATCAGATATTACCGGGAAGCTGTAAGGTATGGCGAATATGTCTTACAGAGAAATTACATACACAGATCATTTTCACTTTCTAGTATGAAACACCTGTTCCTTTAAGGACCCCAACTTTACATTATCTTTGCCGATTCCTGAGAGATTAGCAAAAGCATACTACTGAGCATTTAATGGTCAGCTTGGTTTTTATTTGAACTTCCAGATTAAATCCCAAGTATGTTCATGCCATGAATAATCTTGGAAATATCTTAAAAGAAAGGAATGAACTACAGGAAGCTGAGGAGCTGCTGTCTTTGGCTGTTCAAATACAGTAAGCATTGCTTTTATAATGATGCTAGTGACAAAGGAAGGAGCTCCTGCATTCTGGCATCTAAGCCTTTCTTGTTTATCCTTGTTGAAACTGCTCTTCTAGGCCAGACTTTGCTGCTGCATGGATGAATCTAGGCATAGTGCAGAACAGCCTGAAACGGTTTGAAGCAGCCGAGCAAAGTTACCGGACGGCGATTAAACACAGAAGGAAATACCCAGATTGTTACTACAACCTCGGGCGTCTGGTAAGCTCGGGGCACCCTGTGCCTGTGGAAGAAAGATGGGTTCTTTTTCTTATTTATGGTCAAATGACATAGTAGCATCCTCCTAGCCTAATCAGTTTTATAAAGTTCTTTCACATGTTTTCATCTCTTTCGAAGGTAGCTGTTTGATTTCCTTGTGAGTAATTTTTTAAAGCTCTCATTAGAGAGCAGTGTACTGTGAATTAGCCATGTTTAAGAGGTCACCCAGGCAACAGGTTAAACCAGGGAATAAATTAAAATGTTAAAATCCCATCCACCCTGTAAAACAATGCTCCAACGGGTAACTTCCTGATAAACATCAGTCTCTGTTTTTAAAACAAGAATTTAATACAAACAGAGATTAAAGAAACAAATCCATAGTATGATTTCTGAGCTCTCTTGTTCTTCTTCCTTAAGGGAGCAGAGCTTTTCATCTGCATGGAGCATTGCCCCCTTAACAGACAGCTTTAGAGGGCACGGGATTTATTTGAAAGGGCTTTGACATTATTTGATGGAAATAGAAAATAATGTGTTCAATAGTAGCTTTATATTTTTGGTTATTGACAGGATGTTTATGAAGATCTGATTGCTTTTGATTTTCTTGACTAAAATAAAATGAGATACACACACACATATAGCAAAATTCTTTAAATACAAATGGTTGTATTCTCCCTATAAATCAAACATTTATTATATATATTTCTTAATATATTTAGATGTATTGATAAAAATTGTTAATTAAAAAAATTTTTGTTCATTTTAACCAAACTAGAACATATGCATAACAATGTGACTTTAAAAGAAGTTTATATGTAGATTTCCATATTTTATTCAGCTTAGCCTTACAGGTAGGAAAGCACCCTTATGTTCTAAAGAGATGTCTGCTTACCCTCATTTTAAAGGCCTGAAGCCTCTTGGTTTAAGGAGTTCTTATATTGTCAAAACTGGTAGTTCCCTTGGCTGCTTGTCGCAGGGTGATTGATGGCTTCAAGGTTACTTGATGGAGCTGGAGCACTTGGTTTTGCAGGCCCTAAGGGCTGGCAGTCCCAATGTCATGGCCACGCTGCATGCCATGGCATCTGGAGGTGGTGTTTCTACTGATAACAGGCAGGTGACTGGCTTGGAGAGGGAGGTCATGATGGCTACAAGGAAGGAACTGGACCCACACAATGTACTACTCCCAAAGGCAGCTTCAGGTACCAAGAAAGACCCTAATTTAGTCCCCTCAATCACCAAGAGAATAGTGGTGTACTCGTGAAGAGGACAACAGTGCCGTCACCTGGTTTAGGCTGCACAAAGGCAAGACTGAGTGGTGCCTCAGCTGTGGAACCCACTACAAGCTGGTGCCCCACCAGCTGGCATACTGAACGCCTGCACCAAGTTACTCAAAATGTGCTGTAAAGTTTCTTCTTTCCAAAAAAGACTAGCCCTTCGCATTGGCTCCTTCTCTCTCTGCCAAAAACAAAAAACAACAACAAAAAAACTGGTAGTTCCCAAAATTGATATGCATCTAGACCATTCCACCCCATCTGACATTTAGGGAATCAAAGGCTCTATAGAGAATCTGTATTTTTAAAATAACAATAACAAGCTCGGCACAGTGGCTTACACCTGTAATCCCATCACTTTGGGAGGCTGAGGCAGGCAGATCACTTGAGGTCAGGAGTTGGAGACCAGCCTGGCCAACATGGTGAAACACACTCTCTACTAAAAATACAAAAAATAGCCAGACATGATGGTGCATGCCTGTAATCCCAGCCACTTGGGAGGCTGAGGCAGGAGAATCACTTGAACCTGGGAGGTGGAAGTTGCAGTGAGTCAAGATCATGGCACCACACTCCAGCCTGGGCGACAGAGCAAGACTCAGCCACAAAAAAATTAAGTAAAATAACAATAATGAATCACCCAGGTGATTCCGATACCCTATCCTTGGCCCTGCACCTGGGAAGCAGCTCTGTCTGAACTTGGATGACAGAGTGATCACATCGGTTTGTGGGGAGCAATCCTAAAAACACTGACAGCTTTAAATTTCTTGGAAAACCAGGCTTTGGTTTTTACCATAATGTGAATGTCTTTGGTCTTATTGTTTTTGTTTCTGGACTGGGTAGCCATGATTTTGTAAGCTGTGGAGACAGAATCTTATGAATGGAGAATACAAGATGGCAGGAATGTCTGGCTAACTCATGATAAAATGTGACCTTTCCCCCTTGGGAGAAGTCCCTTTACATGGACAAGTAATATAAATATTAAAATGAAGTGGTTGCATGTATTAGTCCGTTTTCACAATGCTGATAAAGATCTACCTGAGACTGGGTAATTTATAAAAAAAAAAAAAAAAAAAAAGGTTTAACGGACTCACAGTTCCATATGGCTGGGGAGGCCTCACAATCATGGTGGAAGGTGAAAGGCACATCTTACATGGCAGCAGAGAATAAGAGGAGAGAATAAGAGCCAAGCAAAAGAGGTTTCCCCTTATAAAACCATCAGATCTCATGAGACGTACTCACTACCATGAGAACAGTATGGGGGAACCACCCCAGTGATTTAATTTCTCCCACTGGCTCCCTCCCACAACATATGGGACTTATGAGAGGTATAATTCAAGATGCATTTTGGGTGGGGATATCATTACATTTTTTTACTCAAAAAATGCAAAACATGTTTCAGTTATGATGTGCCATAGGAAGATACCATCTCTATGTGCTTATTCCAGTGTGGAAAAGGGGAATTATTTCTTCCTGGCACAGAGGCAAGGGTGACAGGAATGTGGCTGAATCCATGGAATGTTATGATGCTTGAATACAGAAGATTAAGCATCTGTATGCTTAGATGGCATACAGATCTGTATGGCAAGATGTTCCTTTGTCTCATATTAACTTTCTTCAGAACGACTGATCTGGCATGCATTTCTTTTCTTTTACATTTTAAAATTCTATGCTTTATGACCTAGTTACCTGCTTTGATGTTGAAACCACTTTCTCTGTAAGACCTGAAGATTCCAGGGGAGCTGAAACTATGATAATGATGGGCTGTTTGTTCCTGGGGGGAGGGTAGGCTGTAAAACCTCAGCATAATGCTGTGAGTGGTGACTTGAAAATTCAATCACATATAAAGCAGGGGCGATCCTCCCAAAGTTAGTGAAGTGAGGATAGGGGTTGGGTGGTGGATGGGAGCACATGAGGTCTTAACCTGAACTCATGCATTTGGGTGGTTATGAATATATGGGTGCAGAGATTACTGTTTCTGTTCACTGTATCTGTTAAACTAGTACTCAAGTGACTAAATATGAGACTTGATGTTCATATGAATTCTCCTTTCATTCCTTTTTTTCTTTTTCTGAAGGTTGCTCTTCTTTCCGTTTGTTGCTCACAAAGTGAGTGGGTCGCCTGCAGCCTCCCAGGTTGTCTAGGCTCTAAACAGTCTTCTTCCCTCTCCTAGTAGCTGCCTTTCACTGCAGTTCCTTGGGATTTGGAAAATAGGATTTATAATAAATGCTCCTTCTATAAGAGTTATATCCAAAGGGAGGAACATAGACTATAAAGTACCAGCTTTTATCATGTGCTGTAGTCCTTGGGATTCATTACACTTTCACTTGGAAGATCATCTATAGCATTGAACAGATTGAGACCTTGTACTGCTCTTTGTGTATATTGTTTACTAATTACACTACCGTGAAATCGTCTTCCTGTGTTTCCTTCAGCCAACTGTTCCTGCTTATTTAAGGCTTTTGCTCTCCATTGTGGTTTAATTATCCAGCTTTTTCCTGCTTGACAGCTTAAAAGCATTAAGAGCTTAATCTTCAACAACTCAACCAACCCATTTATATATTGGCAAATAAGAACTTAATAACTTAAGAGGTTTTTTGTTTGTTTGTTTTAAGAAATCACTCTCTGGTAACAGGAGACAGAGATTTGTTTTGATTTCTAGACCCCAATATGGAGAGAATATAAGGCAGCTCTCTTGTGGAATAGGAAATCAGGAAGAGCGGGATTACTGGAACATAGTACTGATCTTACAAAGTTACAGTAATAGTGACTAGAGGGATTACTGCAGACAATTCATGATGGAAGGACTGGATGTATCCAGGAAAATGGAAACCATTCTAAGTGTTTTAGATAGAGAAGATTTAATATAGGGAATTGGTTACACTGTCATTGGAAGGCTGGATGAGCAAAAATGTGATGGTAACATGAACTCTGAAATTAAAAGGAATCCTGTGAGTTTGGGAGAACAGACAGGAGGGTGTGGCGCTACCAGGATTTAAGAATTTATACGAGGTTACAATCTCTGGACCTACCACAACCTCAAGAGCTGTGATCATGGGGGACAGACCACTGCTCCCACCCTGCTTGCTGACGCCACCCTGGGACGATAGAGGAGGGGACATAACCTCTTCAGAAACACTGCCAGGGGAAGGAAGGAGACAGTGAGAGTGGGAGGAAAGGACTACTCCCCTCTCTCCATCATCCAGTGCCTATTGACAGAAAGGAACCAAGTGGCAGAGAAGCCTAGGAAATGTAGTTGCAGACTCCCAGCCCCTGCTTGTCAGAGCAGAGTACAGAAGGGTGGGCATAGGACTGCTGGGTGACTGATGTTACCCATCTACTTCCCAGATGAGCAGTTCTGGTTAAATTATCACTTTTCTCTGCATCCCTGAAAGAGCTTGTTTCCTCTGTGTAGATGCTATAAGGTGAGTAGAGTTTGAGGGAAAATGAAACTAAATTTTATCTGATTCAGTCTATTCTTCAATACATAGTAATAATAATTGTAGTAATAACAGTAAAATAGTGAAGATTTGTCATGGTGGGTAAATGAAGTTATGTTGATTGTTCTGGGTATGTTAAATGTCACCATGGATTTTGTCCAAGTGACTCAAATGCGTATCACTTGGTGGAGTTAATTAACCTGAGGAATTGCTGGAACATCAAGTAGAGATAATTGTTAGAATAATTAAGCATCCCAAATTATTTTAATTTTCTGAACTTTTCCTATCATTTCCTTATTAAAGGGGTAAAAATATTGTAACTTGAGTTTCTGAGTCTCATGGGAAATTCTGATATTTTTAGCAAATGATTCATTAACGCTTTCTTTTTCTTGCATAATATGCTACCAATTTGCTGTGCAGCATAGGACAAGTCAAAATGTTTTTGTTGTCTGCAGAAAAGACAGACTTGGCAGTAAGTAAGGAAACAGCCTTAAGCTCTGACAAATTCTAATCATGTGTACTTTTTGCAGAGTTAAAGGGATCAAGTACGCTCAAATAAAATGTACATTTGAATTGAGATAAGAGGGCAACAGGGTCACCTGCTGAAAAAATCCTCCTCTCTCTCTCTCTCTCTCTCTCTCTCTCTCTCTCTCTCTCTCTCTCTCCCCCTCTGTGCTTTTATTAACTATGCAAATTGAGAACTAGCCATTTTGTATTCTGTTACCAATGTTAACATTCCCTCTCAAAAGAAACAACAAATCTGGAAGCATTCCCTTTGAGAACTGGAACCAGGCAAGGATGCCCACTCTCACCACTCTTATTCAACATGGTACTGGAAGTCCTAGCCAGAGCAATCAGGCAAGAAAAGAAATAAAAGATATATAAATAGGAAAAGAAGAAATCAAGCTATCTCTCTTCATAGACAATGTGATTCTACACCTAGAAAACCCTGTAGACTTTACCAGAAGGCTCCTAGACCTCATAAATAACTTCAGTAAAGTTTCAAGGTACAAAGTCAGTGTACAAAAATAAACATCTCTATACACCAATAACATTCAAGCTGAGAGCCAAATCAAGAGTGCAGCCCCATTTACAATAGCCATAAAAAGAAAAAAAAAATACGTGGGAATTCAGCTAATCAAGGAGGTGAAGGATCTCTCCAAGTAGAACTACAAAACACTGCTGAAAGAAATCAGAGACGACACAAACAAGTAGAAGAACATTTCATGACCATGAATTGGAAATCAGTATTGTTCAAATGGCTATACTGCCCAAAGCAATCTATGATTCAGCACTATTTCTATAACTTCTAACGTCATTTTTCACAGAATTAGAAAAAACTATTCTTAAATTGATATTGAACCAAAAAAGAACCTGAATAGCCAAAGCAATCCTAAACATAAAGAAGAAAGCCAAAGGCATCATATTACCTGACTTTAAACTATATATTAAGGCTACACTAACCAAAACAGTATGATACTGGTGCAAAAACAGGACACAAAGATGAGTGTAACAGAATAGAGAACCCAGAAATAAAGCCACATGCCTACAGCTATGTGGTCTTTAACCAAATTTTTTTTAAAGCAATGGGGAAAGGGTTTCCTAGTCAATAAATAGTGCTGGGATAGCTGACCAGCCATACACAAAAGAATGAAAAATTAACTCAAGATAGATTAAAAATTTAAATGTAAGGTATCAAACTACAAGAATCTTAGAAGAGGCTGAGTACAGTGGCTCACACCTGTAATCCTATCACTTTGGGAATGGCTTGAGCCCAGGAGTTTGAAACCAGCCTGGGCAACATGGCAAAACCTCATCTCTACAAAAAAATTAAAAAAAAAAAATAGCTGGATGTGGTGGCATGTGCCTCTAGTCCCAGCTACCTGGGAGACTGAGGTGGGAGGATCGATTGAGCCCAGGAGATGGAGGCTATAGGGAGCCACTGGTCATACCATATCATACCACTGCACTCCTGCCTGGATGACAGTAAGACCCTGTTTTTAAAAAATAATAATTAAAAAAAAGAGTCCTAGAAGAAAACCTAGGAAACACTATTCTAGACATCATCCCTGGGAAAGAATTGATGACTAAGTCCTCAGAAGCAATTACAATGAAAACAAAAATTGACAAGTGGGACCTAATTAAACCAAAAGGTTTCTGCACAGCAAAAGAAGCTATCAAGAGAGTAAACAGATGACCTACAGAATGGGAGAGAATATTCATAAAACTATGCATCCAACAAGGAAAGTAATCTATAAGTAAGAAATCAACAAAATCTGTAAGTAAGAAATCAACAAGCAAAAAACAACAACCCCATTAAAAAGTGGGCAAAAGACATGACCAGACACTTCTCAAAAGAAGGCATACAAGCAGCCAACAAACCTGAGAAAATGCTCATCATCACTAATCATTAGAGAAATGCAAATCAAAACCACAATTGAGATACATTTCACACCAATAGCCATTATCAAAAAGTGAAAAAACAACAGTTACTGGCCAGGCTGTGGGAAAGAAAGGAATGCTTAGGCACTGTATGTAATTCAGACACTATGAAAAGCAGTTTAGAGATTTCTCAAAGAACTTAAAACTGCCTTTCCACCTAGCAATCTCATGACTGGTTATATGCCCAAAAGAAATCATTCCACAAAAAACACACGTTGCCAGGCTCACACCTGTAATCCCAGCACTTTGGGACTCCAAGGCGGGTGGATCATGAGGTCCGGAGTTCAAGACTACCTTGGCCAAGATGGTGAAAGCCCATCTCTACTAAAAATACTAAAATTAGTCAGGTGTGGAAGGGGGGGGTCCCTGTAATCCCAGCTATTCGGGAGGCTGAGGCAGAGAATTGCTTGAACCAGGAGGTGGAGGTTGCAGTGAGCCAAGATTGCACCACTGCACTCCAGCCTGAGGAACAGAGCAAGACTCTTATCTTTAAAAAAAAAAAAAAAAAAAAGACACATGCATTTGTATGTTCATCACAGCACTACTCAATAGCAAAGACACTAAATCAACCTAGGTGCCCATCCACTGTAGACTGTAAAAAGAAAATGTGGTACATCTCCACCATGGAATACCATGCAGCCATACAAAAGAATGAAATCGTGTCCTTTGCAGCAACATGGATGCCACTGTCCTAGGCAAATAAATGCAGGAGCAGAAAACCAAATGCTGCCTGTTCTCATAAGTGAGCACTAAACATTGGGTACTCATGGACATAAAGATGACAACCATAGACACTTGGGACCACTAGAGTAGGGAGGCAGAGGGGCCAACCAGGGTTGAAACATTAACTATCGGGTACTATGCTCACTATCTGGATGACAGGATCATTCATGTCCCAAACCTCAGCATCACACGTTTACCCATGTGACAAACCTGCACATGTACATTCTGAATCTAATAAAAGTTGAAGGTCGAGTGTGGTGGTTCACACCTGTGATCCCAGCACTGTGGGAGGCCAAGGTGGGCAGAGCAGTTGAGGCCAGGAATTTGAGACCAGCCTGGGCAACATCGTGAAACCACACCTCTACTAAAAATACAAAAATCAGCCAGGCATGGTAACACAAGTCTGTGATCCCAGCTACTCAGGAGGCTGAGGCATAAGAATTGCTCAAACTTGGGAGGCAGAGGTTGCAGTGAGCCGAGATCATGCCACTGGACTCCAGCCTGGGTGACAGCGAAACCCTGTTTCAAAATCAATAAATATATAAATTTTTTTTAAAGTTGAAATTATAAAAAATAAAGCAACAGGTATTTTTCTGTTTCCTAAATGAAGCAAACAGAGTCAAAATTGCCAAGAGGTTTTACCTTACCATAGAAGACTTTTCCAAGGAGTTTACAAAGTATGTCTGATATGCTCTTGTTTTTATATTTACTTTAGACACAGGCAGGAAGAGACCCCCAGACCACCCTTCACAAGGTGAATTGGGCACATAGCTTTTGATCATGTGAAATATTTTATTTACTATTCTAAGTAATACTTTATCAACAATGAACTTATGAAGTCTTTTGTGAGAAAGACTAATGATTAGATGTTTTTCAACATTTCAGCAATATGAAATATGAGTTAGATGCCTAAAATCACTAAATAACAGGAAATAGGACTTTATATGTTTGGATCTTGTTCTTCCTCCTGCTTTGCCATTTCTAATCTGTAACTTTGGGCTCATTCATTTTCTCCTGCCTCAGTTGCTTCATCTGTAAAATGAGGATAACAATTATATCTACTTCATTGGTATTGTTTTGAGGATTAAATGAGTTGATATGAAAAACTAGAAGCTCCATAAAGTTAGGTTGGTTTTTATTTTTGTTTGTTGGGCTTTTTCTTTTCTTTTTCTTTTTTTTTTTTTAAATAATGTCTTGGAAAGAGGAAGCAAGGAACTTGGAATGTTGATTTTTTTGGTGTGTGTGATTTTCAGTATGCAGATCTCAATCGCCATGTGGATGCCTTGAATGCATGGAGAAATGCCACCGTGCTGAAACCAGAGCACAGCCTGGCCTGGAACAACATGATAATACTCCTCGACAATACAGGTACCAAAGGTCACAGGAGAGGGCTCCACAGTCAAGTACCACTGAAGACTTAGGAAACAGAGACTGTTGTGCTTTCTTCCTCCTGAGTTTAAAAAAATGAATATGAAGTTAAATATTTTCTTTTACAAAAATGTCTTTTCTTCAAGAAAATCGAATTTCTGGGGCTGGGCGCAGTGGCTCGTGCCTATAATCTCAGCACTTTGGGAGGCCGAGATGGGCGGATCAGCTGAGGTCAAGAAATCAAGACCATCCTGGCTAACACGGTGAAACCTCGTCTCTACTACCCATAGCTGGGCATGGTGGTGCATGCCTGTGATCTCAGCTACTCGGAAGGCTGAGGCAGGAGAATCACTTGAACCCAGGAGGCAGAGGTTGCAGTGAGCTGAGACCGTGCCATTGCACTCCACCCTGGGCAACAAGAGTGAAACTTCATCTCAGAAAAAAAGAAAATTGAATTTCTTTGGACATACTAGAATGTGAATGTCTGGGAAAGTGACATTCCACATAGAACAGTCGTTGAGTCGTGAGGGAGAGTTGGTGGTATCTTGTCTACCAGTGGCCATCCTCTGGGGCACTGGGAGCACCTAGAAGTGGGCAAGAATGACCTTAGGGCTAATGAAATGGATGGTGCTAAGTCCATACCCTAAGTTCATGGATTTCACTCAAAGGAGCCCTCTTAGTCTACACTCAGAGCCATGAATTCTTACCTTTTTTTTTTTTTTTTTTTTTTTTGAGATGGAGTCTCACTCTGTCACCTGGCCTGGAGTGCAGTGGTGTGTTCTCAGCTGACTGCAACCTCCACCTTCTGGGTTCAAAGCAATTCTCCTGCCTCAGCCTCCTGAGTAGCTGAGATTACAGGCATACGCCACCACGCCTGGCTAATTTTTGTATTTTTAGTAGACGGGATTTCACCATGTTGGTCAGGCTGGTCTCGAACTCCTGACCTCACGATCTGCCAGCCTCAGCCTCCCAAAGTGGGATTCCTTTTATATGATGCTAATCAACTTGAAGATCTGGTTTTTTATTCCTGAGCAGACCAGATTCAATCAATTAAGAGTTGCCCTGCCTCCCTCACTTTAAAAATCCAAACGTTCTTGAAGAAATGATGGCGTTAGGCACAGAAAGGCAAATATCACATGGTCTCACTCATGGGGTCTCAGAGTGGACCTCATGGAGCTAGAGACTAGAACAGTAGTTACTAGGGGCTGGGAAGGGGGCGGGGATAAATATAGGTGGGTTAATGGGAACGAACACAGATAGAAGGTGTAAGTTCTAGTGTTCCATTGCATGGTAGGGTGACTGTAGTTAACACTTTATATTTCAAAAGCAATAGAAGATTTGAAATGTTCCTAACATAAAGAAATCATCAATATTTGAGGTGATGGATGTCTAAAATACCCCGATTTGAGCACTACATGTTGTATGCATGTATCAAAATATCACGTTTCCCATCAGTATGTACAGTTATTATGTGTCAATAAAAACATTTTAATGATAGTGTTAATTTGATCATCTACATGGTGTAGAGCAGAAATGTGTGCTTCTAGGGAAAATACAGATGTGTACTTCAGTGTGATAAATTCTCAGTTACGAAAGTGTTGCTGTAATTCTCTTTATTTTGCAGGTTTGTTTGGGTATAACTAGTATCTGGGGAAAAATTAAAACTAGGTTTTAGACAGTTTTATAGAAGTTAATCAAAAGCTGTTTGCGTTGTGTCAGAAATGCGCTGAATTCGGTGGCTTTGCCACTGACAGGGTTGCACATGCGCGCATGCGCGCGTGCGCGCGCGCCCGTGTGTGTGTGTGTGTGTGTGTGTGTGTGTGTGTGTGTATACGTGTGTGTGTTTGTATTACATGATCTACACAGATTTTCTTAAGTAGTTATTGATAATTGTCATGTGCTATGCACATAAGCCCTGTTAGTTCTAGAGGTTAAAATGCAAGTACAGCATTAACATGTCTTTTATTTTTCCATTTTTTCCTCCCAGGTAATTTAGCCCAAGCTGAAGCAGTTGGAAGAGAGGCACTGGGATTAATACCTAATGATCACTCTCTCATGTTCTCGTTGGCAAACGTGCTGGGGAAATCCCAGAAATACAAGGTGCGTGAACCGCAGGCTGTGATTTCTTGCCGTTAATGCCAGCATCTGACAGAAGCCGTAAGTGTTACTTCTGCCCAGTTAAATTCGGAATCAGGCCAGAACAGTGGCAGCGGTGCACCAGTGTGGCTTGGCCAGTTTGTTCCCTAGAAAAGTTGCTTCAAAGACAGCGATGTAGGGCCAAACCCAGTGTCCTTTCTCATCAGAATTAACCACCGTTGTTCACATGTGGAGAGAGGGAGAGAGGCCCAAGGAAAGGGGCAGAGCAGGCAGGGAGCTGTGGAATGGCTGAAGGCAGTGGCCTGGCAGGCTGGTGCAGGATTCCAGGCAGCCGCGGTGCATCCCCGAGGTACCCCCGCCCTGGCACAATGGGGTTACCCTCTATCACTCGCACGTGGGCTGGAGCTCTGGGTTTTATCTGCAGGTTCTGTCTTCTGCACGAAAGAATAACCGGCCCATGGAGAATGCATGACTGGTACTTGCTGCTTCCAGAGTTTTCTTTATCTGAGTTATATAGGCCATCATCAAGGCCCAGAGTTTTCTGACCAACAAAAAACACAAGATACTAAATCTTTGCTCCAGTTGGCAGCCAGGATGGAGCAGGAATAGGCTGTGTGTAACTCCCTGTGTGTTGAAGGAAACTGGTTGTAAACTTTGTCTATTAGACACCGAGGGAGCTTGTTAAAGCAGAGATGCCCAGATTCTCCCTGAGAGGGATTGTCTTCGTGGGTTAGGTCAGATCAGGAAATAGTATTTTTAACTAGCATCCTGGGTGTTGAACACGGATACCACAGAAGCAGTGCCTTAGTCCTTTCTTAAGAGAAATACTTGATTTCAGAATCAGGGGCTATATCTTATTTCGATCACTCAGCTGATGTGTAAGTCCTAAAGGCAGCAACTGGCTAATAGCTGTTAAGTAGTTAAGTAATTGTAAAATGATGGAATGCATCTCTCATTTGGCCCTCAATTTGTTATTCACTTCTCTTTTTCTGTTTATACATATCATCAATATAGTTTTTGGTAACAATAGGAAGATAATTTCATGCATTTCTCTAGTTATACAATGTCGGGGAGTTGAATAGCTTCACTATATACATGTTTTAAATTTCTAGATTTTGCTCCAGAAATAGCTTTTTGAAGAGGGTTTAGTTTTATTTTTTATGAACTACTTGTGTAGCAGGGGAAGGAGGTGAGGTTTACAGGTTTCCCTTGTAATGACCTTTCTAGCCATCTGTCAGCTTGGGACAGGTCCCAAGTCTCAGTTCTCCTCCAGTGACCCAGCTACAGCCAGTCTTCCTGAAGCTTGGCTTATGTAATCATTGTATTGATTTTTCTATCATCCCACAGTCTGTAAACTGCTGGAATTTCTGTTAAGGAGATAGAACCCAGAGTTCATTTGGCTTCCACTCCACGTTGTTCTTTCTTTTCCCCCTCAAATAAAGGAGAAAATACTCTATAAAGCAGAATGGAGAAATCAGCTTCCTCTTTCTCTACATATTTTGCATTTTAATTATCAAGGCCAAGGCACTAGGCCTAAGATAAGAAAACAGATGATGAAATCTGAAACACAGAACTCACGATGAGCTCTTCAGCAGCTACCAAGTATGGGGACATGATGTGACTTCCTGAGCCATGGCATCAGCCACCAAGCAAGCGTTCAATGTACTTTTTAAATTAAGGGTTTGAATTTTAAACAACTATTTAGGTTTTCCTCTCGTAATGCAAAAATGATACCGGTTGCTGATGGTCAGCTGCATCCCTGGCAGTGCTTGTTTCAGGATGTAGTGAAAGGGCCTGTTTCCTGGCAGAACACTGGGTGAGATGTTCCAGAGAAGAGGGATGTGGCAGTGAGTTGCAGGGCCTCCAGCCCAGCTATCTTCATGGCAGGGCAGGTGTCTGCTGCCCGACAACTCACTTTTTACCTGTGTGCTTGCTGTTTTATATATTATGCACTTGGTAAATCTCCTTAGAAAGCCTGGAGGCTCCTTGAGGTTAGAGCTGAGGCTTCAGTCCTGGTTTGGTATCTCCACTGCTGTCGGGCAGTTACGAAGCACATAGTTTAGTGGTTGTAAAATGATCAAATGCATCTCTCATTTGGCCCTGAAATGTTCAGGCTTCCAGAAGCTGTTTTGAGATGTTGATGTGCAAAGTGGGTGTTCTCATTATATCTGTGGTTCTAGGCACCTTTTTTTTTTTTTTTTTTTTTTTTTTTTTGAGAAGGAGTCTCACTCTGTTGCTCAGGCTGGAGTGCTGTGCAGTGGCAGGATCTTGGCTTACTGCAAGCTCCGCCTCCCAGGTTCAAGCGATTCTTCTGCCTTAGCCTCCTGAGTCGCTGGGACTACAGGTGCCTGCCACTACGCCCAGCTAATTTTTTGTATTTTTTACGTAGAGATGGGGTTTCACCATGTTAGCCAGGATGGTCTCCATCTCCTGACCTCATGATCCACCTGCCTCACCCTCCGAAAGTGCCAGGATTACAGGCATGAGCACTGCGCCCAGCCCTAGTCACCTTTTAATCCCATCTGAGCAGTCCTTTTTAAAACATAACCACAGTCCCTTAGCCTCTCTGGGCCTCAGTTTGTTCCTTTGTAAAATGGAGATAGTGATCTGCCCAACCTCTTGACAGGGTGTTACAAAAACATGCACAAGAACATAATTTGCAACTCTCAAGTGGTTCATGTGCCTATACATCTACATACACACACATACCTATTTCTCAGTTTAGTGATCATTCAGTGACTCTCTAGGTATCATTAAAATGTGTTCGAATTTATATTACTTCTTGCCATTTAATTTCCAATTTCAGGCTAATGTGGTAAAGCAAAAATACAAAAGGAATGTTTTTCAGTGCTTACAGCATTGCTTCCTGTGCTCATTTCTTTTTCTGAAGTGGTAATTCCAGTGATCCTGTAGCTTAAGAGCAGGTTATGTTGATAGAGTCAGTTTCCCCAACTTCAGACATTTATGTCACACCTTTATGATTTTTTATTTTTTGCCACATCTAGATGTTAGCTGACTTATTTACTTGATATTTTTATTTAAATAGATTTTTAACACGAATATATTTAAAGGAGAAACGTTGCATCATTACTATAAATACAGTGTAACTGAAAGTGAAATAATCGTACCAAGTCCCAGCCAGATACTATTGCTGGCCAAGGCTCTAAGCCAGAGGATCACCCTCTCTCAGCTTCAAGGAGAGATTGGCAGGTGTGTTAGAGGGTGGGACCCACACACCGCCACCCAGTGCAGACTTCAGCCCCTATGCAATCAGAAGGAAGAAAGGAGAATAGAGAATAACTCTCTTCCTGTGTGATTCACGGTTTCAGCTGCACATCAGGTCACCTGTGTTACGCTTCCTATTCTAGCAGAGGCACAGCGGCCCCTGTGCCCCAGAGCACTCTTGCGTGGCTGCTGTGGCTGAAATGACCTCCGCCCACCCAGGTCTCCTCACCTGGACATAGAGACTGGCACTTGTTTCTACCTAGAGGCACAATTTGCAAGGCTTTTCTCAGTCCCACACCTTTGTTGAGTACATTTTATCTAATACGCTTCTGAAAATAATACATTATTTTTCCCCTTTATGCTGAGAAAAAAATATCCCTGTCTCTAAGGTGTGTTTATTGGTTCATTGGCATAAATCGGCTCATTGCCTGGGTCTTTATACATCTAGAGACCTCCACAGATCAATTTATAAACAGTTCACTGCTTTCCTGGATGGGGCCATTGGAAAGCCTGATTTAATAGATGAACATTTCATGGGCTTTGAAATACCCACAGATGCTGCGTTCTAAAGAGGCCCCTCCAATCCCTGCTCCCACCCAGGCCCAGGGGCTGCCCCCGTGACCTGGAGAGAGCCAGGCCATCCTTCACCTCCCCTCAAACCAGCTCTTCCTCCTGACACACCTTTGTCCACGTGATGTTGTGTTTCTGTTGCCCTGACTTGGAAATCTTGACTCATGTTTCCTCCCTTGTCCCCTGGCCCAGTGCTCTCTGTCTGTTCTTCCTCATCCCGGTTTCTTCACACCGGCCTCCTGCAGAGTTTGGGCCCCACCCTGCTGAGAGCAGTGGCCCTCTAACAAAGAGTCAACTCTGAGCCCTTCCCTGTCTTCCCCACCACTGTGTCCCCCAAACTGCTGTCTCCTTGATGTCCTGAATGATGTTTGCCCTCACAGGCCATCTGAGAAGTTAGCTGAATGAATACATGAATTTAGCAACCCTAGAAAACTCTTAACTGTATCCCTAACCATTTTTCTCTAATTAACACTACTTCATTTACAGGTAGGGAAACATTTTTAAGGAGATGTGGTTCCCTGACCTTTCTGTGTCTCAAGTTTTAGGTTTTAAATGGAAATGTTTGGAAAATCATCAGAGACAGCCTAGTGACTCAGAAACCACTGCAAAACTACACAATCCATTTGACGTTTTTTTTCTGCAGCCTACCTGATACAGCAGGAGTCTTGACCCTCTTGGAAGGAGTTTCAGTCCCTGAAACTTGGAATGTAGACACTGACTTTGAACTGACATCCCATATGTTGTCCTGATGTCTTAAGTCCCTCTTGGATGACATTTCTGAAATACAAGTGTTTCTCTGCCAGCTCTGTCTAAAAGGTCATCGTTTTGGAGATGGTCACCCACATTCCCAGCTGATTTCTCAGGAGTACGATGGGCCATAACAGGGCAAAGGAACTGGTGGTCTTGCATATTATAAAATGCACAGTCCCAGATATGGGAAGCCCACCAGGAGAAATTCATGTGTGGCCCAGATAGAAGGCACAAAAACTATCCCGACACCAACAGATTTGTTTGGTTAAGCTCAGTATGTGATACTGATTTTCTTTTTTTCTTTTTGAGTATTGCTCCGTCGCCCAGGCGGGAGTGCAGTGATGCGATCTCGGCTCACTGCAGCCTCTGTCTCCCCATTCAAGTGATTCTCCTGCCTCGGCCTCCTGAGTAGCTGGGATTAAAGGCCCGTACCACCACACCTGGCAATTTTTTGTATTTTTAGTAGAGATGGGGTTTTCCACTAGATTGGCCAGACTAGTGTCAAACTCCTGGCTTCAAGTGATCTGCCCACCTTGACCATCCAAAGGATTGGGATTACAGGCGTAAGCCACCACGCCCAGCATGTGATACTGATTAAAACATGCTGCCCTTTAGGAATGCATAGGTAGGTGGAGTGAACAGTTCCCCACCACCCCCACCCCGGGGCACATGTCAATAAAAACAGGTAGGCATCTTTATTTCTCAGCATTACGGTAGAAAGGGACCAGCCAGCCAACAGTTTTTAGCAGTGATCAGGGTAGAAAGACACTCTGCCCTGCTTCTTAGTGGCCAGGTTGGAAGTAAGTATGATTTGGAAGAAATGCAAGGCTGCTCAAGAATCAGTTCACCCCATCAGGGGCATTTGGTCATGGTCATGTCCAGTACTGCAACAATGTAGATGACAGGTGGCTATTCCTTCCTCATTTTCTGCTCATTCTTTCCAGATGAATGGGGCTGCTTCTGGGCTGCCCAGCATGTTGTAGGTTCTTGGGGGAGAGGAAATGGGCCTCGACTCCCACCCCGAGAGCTCTGGAAGTGAGTTTCCTGGTGCTGGCTGGAAGTGGCATTGGCGTGGGTGTGCTCCAGGGCTCAGCCCTCTCCTGTTCACCGGGCCTCCTGTCATCGTCACACACCCTGCCCTGGGTGACTTGCATAACGTTGCAGAAGTCCAACCACTGCAGGGAGGCAGGTGGTGGCACTCTCGAGCATGTTCATCCCCTCTCTGCGGCCACCACTCCCTCCTACTGCCCCTTGTCAGCCTCTCTGGCAGAGTATGGCCCTGCTGGGCCTTCTGAATGTTTCTGGAGGAATGCAGTGATACCAAAAGAGGTTAAAAGTTTGAAAACCATAGGTGATAAAACTGGGAACTGCTTTTGCTTCATGTACAATAAATAGCTTCCTTTTTATGTTTTCCATTTTTTAGGAATCTGAAGCTTTATTCCTCAAGGCAATTAAAGCAAATCCAAATGCTGCAAGTTACCATGGTAATTTGGGTAAGAAAAATGTTCAACTTGAATTGTTGAAATTCTATGTTACTTTAATGAAGTGGGTGCGTGTCTATAAAATTAAAGTTGGGACAGTAGTTTTTTTCAAAGCTAGCCTGGCTTTAAAATTTGGTTCTGTTATTACATTAAAAAGATAGCAAAGTGACAGCCACACTTTCAAATCTTAATCACATGACCAGAACAGCCACAAAGTTGCCCACTCTGTTTATCACCTTCTCATGAGTAAACTCAGATTGTCCTTCTTTGTGTTAAACTGAGAAAGATGAGATTGGCTTAAGAGAATGAGGCTATGGTTAGGAAGAGTTCTCCTACTAAATTAATCATAGGTGCTTTGGAAGCTTGCCATTGGACTTACCTCCTTTTCCTTCCTTTTTACAGAGTAGACCTTCCCCTTCTAGCCTGGTCTTTCTTATAGCCCCTTATGCCTTGGCTATAAGAAATGCACGTTAGCATTTATAAACATTTATTCCCTAGAACTCATTTCTTGCATTTTTGTGTCTCCATGGCTAAGATGTTTAGAACATAGCATGTTGATGTTAGAATGCTCAGTCACAGAAATGTTTTGCACCAAAGCTGTTCTCTACCAACTCTGAAGCTTCTCTTCACAAAAGTCAGAAAGCATCCACCAGTGATCTTCTGCCCATATAGAAAGTTCGTTTTACTAACAAAATCACTGTAATGATCACAGGCTAATCATCCAAATGATTAGGTTTATTGTAACTATCATTTTAGGGTCAGCTCTTGATATTAGACCTTATTTCCAAATGGCCCCAAAAAGCTATCACTTCACCAAATGATGGAGGGAAATATCTCTTTAAAATAAACATCTGAACTTCTGCATAGTCAGGCTCTCGGCAGTACCTAGCAGTCATCACCCCTCCTCCCACACCCAGTCTGGCTTCCTGGAACTTTCATGGCAGCACTGAGACATTGAATGTACTCTTCTTTTTACTTCTTTATGTAATAATATGACTGTAGGCAGATGTAACTTATCTAGTGCTCTGAAGAGCCCTAGGAGTAACTGGCAGTAGTTAAATGGATAATCACCAGGGAGTGTGATTACAATAAATAAGGTTTTCAGTACAAACAATATTGTTTTATACAATTAACTTTTGAAAACTGTTTACAGAGGATCTGTAATATTTCTTTGTCCAAGAGGGTAGGAATATGGCACATTACTCAGAAGCATTCCCACTGAAATTCATCTCCTGCTATTTCAGCTGTGCTTTATCATCGCTGGGGACATCTAGACTTGGCCAAGAAACACTATGAAATCTCCTTGCAGCTTGACCCCACGGCATCAGGAACTAAGGAGAATTATGGTCTGCTAAGAAGAAAGCTAGAACAAATGCAAAAGAAAGATGTCTGATCCTTTTTCCTTCATGTTTTGAGTTTGCGCGTGTGTGTGCATGAGGCATATCATTAATAATATGTGGTTACATTTAACCATTTAAAAGTCTTAGACATGTTATTTATTTTGTTGATTTTTCTATGAAAACAGACATGCAAAAAGATTACAACACCAGCAATATACTCTTGAATGCTTGATGTGACTTTTGCATTGAAATTGTATTTTTTCAGACAACTCAAATGTAATTCTAAGATCCAAAAAGTCGTCTTTTTTTAATTAAACAGAAAAAGAGAAAAAATTATCTTGAGCAACTTTTAGTAGAATTGAACATACATTTAGGATCTGAGCCTTGCCGTGTATGGACCAGCACTACTAAACTTCAGTTATGGCCGAGAAAGGACAGACTGACTCCTACAATTTGTATAAATAATGAACGTGTCTGTATATTAGCATTTTTATTTAATGACAAAACAAATTAAGATTCTTGTTTTTTATCTCTCTTTTTTTTAAACAATATACTGTGAACTTCATTTGTAAGGAAATATTTATTTGTATTTTTATGTTTTGAATAGGGCAAATGATGAGGAATGGAAATTTTAACATTAATATATCTATTTGCTTTTCCCCACAGGAAGAAATTGACTCTTGCAGTAGTTTTTGGATGCTCTGACTTGTGCAATTTCAATATAAAGGAGGTTATATATAATATTTTACATAGACGGTTACTATCAATAGAAAGTTGAAGCCACACTTCAGGCAAGAGCAGGCAGCCTCACATCGTTATTTTTGTTACGTCCAGGGTTAAGAGGGCAACACATCTACGTAAGCTGCTTTTTAGTGTTTTTAACTGTAAAGCCATTTTCCATTCTGCTTAATGAAACTACAGACATTATCCAGAAAATGCAAAATTTTTCTCTCAAATGGAGCCACATTCGGGGAATTTGTGGTATTTTTAGGAATTGAGTTGTTCCTGCTGTTTTATTTCATCCAAACAATGTTTTCTTCTCTGTATGCTGTTGACCGAATAATTTATGCAATCTCTATAATTTCTTATGCAGTAAAATTATTACACAAACTAGCATGAAAATGTCATATTGCCTTCTTAATCAATAATTTTTAAGTAGTGAACTTTGTATCCTCCTTTACCTTAAAATGAAATCAAAGTGACTAGATTATCTTTTATGTGGCTTCTGTTTGACTTGGGGACCATTTCATAGAATTGCAGTACAGCGTTAACCAAGTGCAGAGAACAGAGTGACCAGATCCACACTGAGAGGAATTTGATTCTCTGGACTCGCTTTTTGGGGGCAGATCTGTGTAGAGCTGTAAGTTAGTAATTGTAACTTCTGGTGGTTGAAGTATATCAAGAAATAAAGTGCTGTGTTTCAATTTTTTTTTTTTTTTTGAGATGGAGTCTTGCTCTGCTGCAGTGCAGTGGCACCATCTCAGCTCACTGCAACCTTCAACTCTCGGGTTCGAGTGATCCTCCTGCCTCAGCCTCCCGAGTAGCTGGGATTACAGGCATGCACCAGCATGCCTGGCTACTTTTTGTATTTTTAGTAGAGATGGGGTTTCACCATGTTGGCCAGGCTGGTCTTAAACTCCTGACCTCAAGTTATCCACCCTCCCCGACCTCCCAAAGTGCTAGGATTACAGGTATGAGCCACCACATGCAGCCTTCAAATATTTCTTAAATGGTCCCAAAACAACAGTAATAATTTATAGCTCTCTTTAGTGGAAAAGACCAACTTTCTTTTATTTATGTTCTTATAGTGCTTCATTGGTCATATAATAGATGCACTGTATGCTTTGTTGACTTTTTTAAAGCAGATTCCTTTTTTTGAAACAGTGCTTGTCTATTGAGAGTAAAGAAAAAATTTCTTACATAAGCCCCTTCAGGATTCTTTTTTTTTTTTTTTTTTTTTGTACCGATTCTAAAACTAGTGTCAAATCAAGATGTGCAAATCTGGATCCCTGCCTACCGATAAACTCCCTTAGCTTTCACTGCTTCAGCTCCCAGCATTTCCATTGTAGCTGTTTTCTTTCCAGAGAGCACAGTGATTGATTTGATTGATACTTCAGGAAGTCTTTGATCTCTGCAGACTCTGGAAGCATACCACGCTGGCTCTCTTTTCTTCTTTTTCCATCTTAAGGCAGCCACCCTCTTTGTTTCTTGGGCTTCCTTTCCAACCAGACTGAAGGGGAAGGCCGCCTGGCAGTTCTCTTATTTGGTGTCTTTTACTATTTTAATGTTTTTATTGCTAATGACAGTTGGGAGACAGGAGTCAAAACAAACATGGGGAAGTTCAAGTTTGGGAAATCTCATCATCCTTCTTTTCCTTGATAGCAAACATCATCGAATCTGGAAAGAGTGTTGGAGTTGGGTGTTGGTTTGTTGGGTGGTTTAACATATGTACCACATGTGAAAATGCAACGCTTCTTTCCTGTTCTTGTTTGGATTTTTTTTTTTTTTTTTAATTTAAATGCAGGGTTACATTTGTTTTTATTCAAGTTCGTCCTGTCAGACATAGCCTGCAGGCCTTGACTGGCCCTGGTAAGGTTCTCGTTCTATCATCTGGCTTACAGATGTTCTTTTCTTTACTTTTCTTTTTTGAGCCAGGGTCTCACTCTGTCCCCCAGACTGAAGTGCAGTGGTGCGATCTTGGCTCACTGCAGCCTCTGCCTCTCTCCTGGGTTCAAGTGATTCTCCCACCTGAGCCTTCTAAGTAGCTGGGACTACAGGCACACACCACCATGCCTGGATAATTTTTATATTTTTTGTAGAGGCGGGATTTTGCCACGTTGCCCAGGCTGCTCTCAAACTGCCTGCCCTGGCTTCCCAAAGTGCTGGGATTACAGGCGTGAGCTCCTGCACCTGGCCATTCTTTACATTTTATTTCATATTACTGACAAAATATCAGAACAGGGAGAGCCCTGCACCAAAGCACTGGGTATCTATTTCCATACTCACGCCCAACCAGCCTGGACTTTGCGGTGAGAAAACCCAGACATGGACCCTGGGCTCTCCCACTGCAGTATCGTAGGTAAGGCGCTGAGCATTGCTCAGACCCATTTCTCATCTGTACAGTGGGGCTAAGACGATTCCTCATAGCCATAACAGAGAGCCTAGAGGATCCTTCGTAAGTGATAGGTTGGATTTTTGACAGGATCTCTATTGGGAGTAGACAGATCTGGCTTTAGATACCCTTATTCCCCATTCACCCAACACATACTAAGTGTCTGCTATGTACCAGATACTATCTTAGGCTGTCTAATTACTAAGGTGGGTGGAAGAGGTCACGGTCTCTTATCCTTAGCAGTGGACATTCCAGTGAGAAAAAATAATGATCAAAGAGTCGTATGAGGGGAGAGGCCTGTTCTAACTTGGAGAGTGAGGAAAGAGTCCTCTGGGAAGGTGGCTTCCAGATGGAGATTGATAGGCAGGGGGAGGAAGGTGCCCCCAGGCTGATGTTCTCCAGGCGGGGGGCATTTGACAATGCCTGGGGGTGTTTTTGATTGTTACAACTGACTGGAAAGTGCTGGTGGAGAGAGATGCTGCTGCTGTACATATGATATGTGCAGGACAACCCCCAACAAAAATTACCTGGCCCAAAACATTAGTAGTCCCAAGGTTGAGAAAACCCCGACCACACGGAAGCAACAGCATCTGCAAAGGCCCTGCCGTGAGAAAGATGAACTCCGAGGAGGCTGGGGAGGGTGCTTGAGAAGGCTGGCCTCGGTGATGAGCCAGTTCACAGACCACGTGGTGCTTCCCATAAACTGGGGGAGAATCCAAAGCAGGTCAGTGACATGATCCAAGTTAGTGAGGTTTTGACAAGGTCACTCGGCTGCTGGTGAGAAGGGAACTGGAGAGAGGCTAAGAGGATGTGAGCAGACCACCCAAGAGACCATCCCAGGTGTCCAGTGTTGAGATGAAGGTGACCCTCTGCAGCCCAGTGGCAGTGGGGCTGGAGAAATGTGGACAGATGGGAGTGATGATAAGGAGTCAACTAGTGTTGGACAGGAGATGGGTGGTGGGGGAATGACAGGTGCTAAATGCAATTCAGCACAGAAGCCACTGAGGGAGAAGCTGGCCTTAAACTAGAGAGAGAAGGTTCTTGAGAAGAAACAAGAGGTAGAGCCCCAAATCACCTTTTTGGCCCTACAAAAGAGGAAATAGGGCTCCTGTATGTTATGAGGTCCAGATGGGAACAGATGTAGGCACCTCTGCACACATATAGTTGGCTAAGACCCAGCTGCAGCCAGCATTCAGTGGTCATATTACAAGAAGTTCCACCTCTCCAACTCAACTTCTTCACGTTAAAAAAAAAAAAAAAAAGGCCGGGCGCAGTGGCTAATACCTATGATCCCAGCACTTCAGGAGGCCAAAGCGAGTGAGTCACCTGAGGTTAGGAGTTTGAAACCAGCCTGACCAATATGGTGAAACCCTGTCTCTACTAAAAATACAAAAATTAGCCAGGCATGGTGGTGGGCACCTGTAGTTCCAGCTACTCGAGAGGCTGAGACAGGAGAATTGCTTGAACCTGGGAGGTGGAGATTGCAGTGAGCTGAGATCACACCACTGCATTCCATCTTGGGCACCAGAGTGAGACTCTGTCTCAAAAAGATAATTTTTTTTTTTAAAAGCAGGTAATGTCTAATTTGCAAGGTTGTTGTAAAGGTGCAAGTTAATATAAAATGTCTACAGCTGTCCTGTCCAATAAGGTAGCCACTCACCACACGTGGCTAGTGAGCACTTGAAACATGGCCAGCCCACATCAAGATGTGCTATAAAAATAAAATACACACTGGATTGTGAGGACCTGGCATGAAAGATTTTTTTTTTTTTTTGAGACAGAGTTTTGCTCTTGTTACCCAGGGTGGAGTGCAATGGCACGATCTTGGCTCACCGCAACCTCCGTCTCCTGGGTTCAAGCAATTCTCCTGCCTCAGCCTCCCGAGTAGTTGGGACTACAGGTGTGTGCCACCATGCCCAGCTAATTTTTGTATTTTTAGTAGAGACAGGGTTTCACCATGTTAACCAGGATGGTCTCGATCTCTTGACCTCGTGATCCACCCATCTCGGCCTCCCAAAGTGCTGGAATTACAGGTGTGAGCCACCATGCCCGGCCTTGGCATGAAAGATTAATGTGAAATCTCAATAATGTTTATATTGATTACATGTTGAAATATTTTAAATATGTTGGGTTAAATAAAACATTAAAATTATTTTCCCCATTTTTTAAACTTTTTAATGTGGCTACCAAATTTAAAATTACATCTATGGCTTACTTTGGAGTTCACTTGATATTTCCAATAGGTAGCACTGATCTAGAGTACAGTAGGAAATGGGTATACGGTACCTGCCTCACAATCTAATTTGTGTGATTTTTTTTTTCTTTTTTTTTTTTTTTGAGATGGAGTTTTGCTCTTGTTACCCAGGCTAGAGTGCAATGGCGCCATCTTGGCTCACTGCAACCTCCACCTCCTGGGTTCAAGTGATTCTCCTGCCTCAGCCTCCCTAGTAGCTGGTATTACAGGTGCTTGCCACCACGCCCAGCTAATTTTTTGTATTTTTAGTAGAGAAAGGATTTCACTATGTTGGGTCAGGCTGATTTCAAACTCCTGACCTCAGGTGATCCACCCACCTTAGCCTCCCAAAGTGCTGGGATTACAGGCATGAGCCACTGCGCCTGGCCTAATTTGTATTTTTTAAAAGAATATTTATTGCATCTAATTATTCCAATCTAATTAACATTTTCATTCTCGTACTCCTACAAAGTCTATATTTCTCATCTTTGTCCCTAAGGCTTTCCTAAGTGGACCAGTTCGATGTCCTTTGGAAAACTGGATTCTGCAGGCCTATCGTGATTACATGATTAGCAAACAGCCATAGCTGATGAGGGAGACTCTTCCTTATAGACTAATCATAGCTATTACATGTTGAAAGAATGGAAATTAGGAAATCAAAGTTTTTTTTTTCCTGGTCCCCAGTGAGCCAATTGATTAAAGCAAAGGTCAGCAACAAATAAAATCATTAGATGAAAGGTTGATGGGGAACTGCACTGGAGGGACAAGGTTGTCACCAGCTG